AGGTCCCTTCCGACCCTAGAAACTATGAAACTATGTTTAGGGACATACCTAATTTGTGGAGGCTGCCATCCCAATTTTGGGGGCAGAACCCGGGGTCAGGCAGCTATTTTGTGGGCAGAGTGCAGCAGCCCCCCATGCCTCTGATTGGCCAAGGGGCCTCAGCGGCTCTGCCCCTCAACACTGATTGGCTTCAGGGAGCTGCCTGTTACGTGGTTCCACTCCTTGCTGCTAATTGGCTGCAAGGGCTGTCCATCATGCAGCCCTGCCCCTCTCTGCCAATTGATTTGTGAGGGGTGAAGCCACATGACAGGTAGTCCTCACAGCCACTCAGTGGCAAGAGGTGGTGGTGGGGATGGCATCCATATTGCTGGACCACATACCATATGGGCACCTGCCATGCCACACATACATTACATTGAGTAAAAATGCTTCCCTTCCCTTGCAGCTATACTGATGGAGCAGAGCCATGAATGAACTATCCCCTATGCTGTGGTGCACTAAACAGTGCCATGAGCAGATACTCCACCTGCACAGTGCCAGTTGTGCGGGCCCTGCACTCCCTTCCCTGGGCTGTGGACCATGCTGCAGGGACGGGCGTGGGAGAGCAGCAAGAGGAGGGAGGGGGAGCCTCAAGCCTTTAGCTGTTGCTGCAGCCACAGCAATGGGGAGCAGCAGCCAAGCAAGAGCCCTGGAACTGCAAATTAACCCCCTGCAGGCCACATGCAGCCCAAAGGGCCATGAGCCGGACAGCCCTGTCTATACCTATGCTATTCAATCATCAAAAGAAGACAAATTGCAATCAAAAACATTCTGAGTTCTGACCTATTTATGAGGTAACTCAGAGCCAAATGCAAGGCTCACAGAAGCCAATATAAAGAGTCTCATTGACTGTAACAAACTTCGGATCCATGCACATGAAAAACAGGCCATGCAGCTGCTTTTTCTGGTATGTCATATTTCACTAGCAATTTATTACAGTAAAAATGAATAATGTCCTACTGTTACATCTTAAAAACCCTAATGTATTATAACCTATACATAATCATTAATACTAACACTTCCAAAAATCACAGAAGTTAGAAAAGGCAACAATCAA